CGATAATTAGATAGTTTTAGTGTTGTTTATTATTTCTATTGGATAATATTTTGATTTTAATTTAATTTTTTTTTTTTACAAAATTTTGTCACGCCTATTAAATTGTCGATTATAGAGGTTTCGCACTGTAGTATATTTCGAAGGATTGAGGCAGTTATTTTCACAAATAGAAATAGAATTCATTATTAAATTTTTTTATAAATTAATAAACTAAGTTATAAATAAAAACATTTATCATAAAATTTAATTTTTATTATATTTAACATATGACATTTTTTTAATTTGAAAAGTGGTCAAATAATTTTGATCACCGCCTGTATTATATAGAAGGATATTATATATGAGGAATATTTTATAAAGAAAATGTATTAAAATCATCTGTGAAATATATTGATATCAATAAAGTTTAACTAATAATTTACACGTTTTTTATAATTGTGATATTTTTAAATTTTTTTACATGATATTAATAAAATAAAAGTTTAAAAAATTAAATTTATTTTTTTTTCTTTTTGATTTCTGCTCTTTTTTGATCTTATTGTTTATAAAGTATTATCATTTTCTAAAATTTAAATTTTCATAAAAAATGCCAAAAGGAAATTTTGATATACAACGAGCAAGAAATATATAAAAAAAATAATGTCAATGGAATGCTCGTAAAAAACTGATGGTTGTATTATATCAAGAAAATAGATATAGTATTTAAGCAATAGTAAATAAATATGATATTGAACTAAAACAAGTTCGTGATTAGAAAAGCAAAAAAAATGACTTAATACGTGTAGCTCTATATATTCAATGACTTAATATTAGTGCACAACCTAAATATTCACAACTTGAAAATGAACTTTTAGAATGGTTTTGTGAGTTATGAAGATAACTAAAAACAGTAACTAGATATATGATTGGTATAAAAGCTCGCAGTTTAGCTAAAAAATAAGAATATCTTATTTTGTATTCTGATATTCATAAATATCAATTTTCATAAAAATAGGTTGATATATTTATGTCTCGCTATTTATTGGTAAATCGTTAATATACTACAGTAGCATAAAGATTACCTGAAGAATATATTGAAGAACAACAAAATTTTTTATCATATATTCTTTATTTACGAATTGAACGTAATTACTCTTTAAATTTAATCAGAAATATGGATAAAACTCCTATGTCATTTAATATGCTAAGTCAAATAACTGTTAATAAATGTGGAAAATAAATTATTTCAATTCTTACAACAGGCTATGAATGCATGAATTTTACAGTAACTCTTGCTTATCTTGCAGATGGTATTAAACTTTCTCCATTTATTATTTTTAAGTTAGTTAATGTATTACGAGAATAATTTTCAAATAGTATATATGTTCATGCAAATCCTAGTAGATGGATAGATGAAAAGAAATAATTTAGTGAATAAAAAATGTATGATGTTAACAGATGAGTTTGAATTCAAATTTACGTTCACTTCTTGTTCTTGATTCATTTACTACTCATAAAACAGATGTTGTTAAATATTGTCTCTATAAAAAAAACACAAATATTGCTATTATTCTAGGCAAATTAACTTCACGTTTACAATCATTAGATTTAACCTTAAATAAAACATTTAAGCTAAGGTTAATATAAAAAAATATTATATAAAGCAAATAAATATTATTATATAATACTTATCTAATATTTCATTAATAGGTTCATCATACTTACAATCATTAGATAGGTGAGACTATAAAAGAATATATACTATCAGGTAAAATCTAATAACTATCATATTCATTAGTAGCAAATTGAATTAAAGAAGCATGAGATAAGATTGATCCTATAATGATATAATGGTCCTTTAAGTGTTATGGAGTTTCAACAGAAGTAGATGGCTCTAAAGATCATTTAATTTTTAATTTTGAGAAAGTTTCAGATAAAAGAAGTGCAAGAATTAGCGTAGAAGAAGAAGGGGAAAATGATAAAATTTTAGATGATAACAATGATTCAGAATGTGAATATTATGAAAATGAAGAGTGAAATTATGTTAATATTTGGGATTAGTTAATTAATAAATAATAATGAATAACAAATCTTATATTTCTGCTAGATTAGTTTTATTCAATTATTTTTACAATATTCTAAGCACATTTTGCAATTTATAATATTAGTTTAATGAAATAATAAACACAAAGACAAAAGTAATAAAATTTGGCTATACTATTTAGATTTATTCATTTTTATATTGATAATATATAAAATAAATTATAAGTTTTTTTATGATTAAAAGCTTTTTGTGATAAAAAAAGATCAGAAAATCTAATTCATTAATATTAAGTATCTGGGTATTAATCAATTTTTCACAGATTTTGATTTGAAAAGAACCTAGATACTAACTATGTTTAGATTATTGTAAACAGTGAATAGTATTCAGGTCTTAATCACGAGTGATATTATTTTTAGGGGATACTATAAGCAGTGCTATATGGTATATGTCAATTGATAGCATTAACTTTCCTAGGAATATTAAATTTGATGAGATTAGAATTATTAATACAAAAATTATTAACTTGAATATCATTTTAATAAATTCAAAATAGATTGATAAAATAGATGTAAAAAAAATTATTGGTAGATATAATTCTATAATATAAAAGTCTAATGATTTCTGGGTCAAACTAAAGATAGTTTCATATTTTTCTTTAAAATCAAAAATAGTCTTATTAAAAATACAATTTTATATAAGGTTAAATGTAATATGATATCATATTGACTTAGATCATATTTTGGTCATGATCTTAAAAGGTAAATTAACAAGTTATAGTTAATTCTGAAATAATAATTATTATAAAAAGATGATAAGAGATTTTAATTGATGATTAAGAAGTATTTTAAATAATGAAGAGATAAAAATAATGCTTATCATTTTAAACTAGAACATTTATAACAAATATATATCATAAATTTATTTTTCATGCGATAGAAATTTTGACATAATTGATTTATAACTATTAATGTGTATTAATATTAATTAGTTTTTTTACTATATTAAAAGAAAGGTTATAAACTTTTAATTTATCAGTTATAAGTGTAATAGTTTTAATTAGTATTTCACACAGATTTGGATCGATCTGAATCTAATTCAAATCTGATCAGATTCAGATCAGATCTGTCAGATTCAGATTTAATTCAGATTCAGATTCAGATCAGATTTAATCCGTCAAATTCAGATTCAGATTCAGATCTGATCTGTCATATTCAGATTAGATTCAGATCAGATCCGTCAGATCTGAATTTAAATTTTTTAAAGCTAAAAAGTTTCTTTTCAATGAAAAGAAACGAATTTTCAGACTTCTTTAGAGCCAAAAATTTGTTTCCTTATATTAAAAAGAAATGAATTTTTGGATTTCTTTTAGAATTGAAAAGTTCCTTTTATTGAAAAAGAATGAATTTTTGGAACTCTTTTAGAGTTGAAAAGTTTTTTTAATTGAAAGGAATGACTTTTCAGAACTCTTTTAGAGCTGAAAAGATTCCTTTCAATAAAAGAAATGACTTTTCAGAACTCTTTTAGAGCTGAAAATGTTCTTTTCAATAAAAAGGAATGACTTTTCGAAACTCTTTTAGAGCTAAAAAGGTTTCTTTCAATAAAAAGAAACATTTTTGAATCTCTTTTAGAACTGAAAATTCATTTTTTCAATAATACTTTCAAATTCAGATCAGATCAGATTTAGACTTAAACCGATCTGTCAGATCTGAATTTGAGATTCAATCTGTCAGATTTGAATTGAATCTGAATTTCAACGGATCTGTCAAATTCAGATCAGATTTGAATTCTGAAAAATAAAAATCAGATTAGATCAGATTTGAATAAAATCTGATCTGATCTGATTTTGTGAAACACTAGCTATAAGTGTTAGTATTAGTTCAGTAGGTTTAAGTTCTAATAAAGTTGTAACTGCAAGTGCTGGTAATGTTGATATTAATATTGCTAGAAAAAATGTTGATAATTTAGGTAATTTGTTAATCAAATTGGTATCGTAATCATTGAATTAAAAGTTAGAAGTTCACTTTTGAAAATCTTTTATGAAGTATTTGTTATCAATTTAACTTTCCTCAATACATTCATCACCTTTACAAAATAAAAAGTTTTGCTTGTATCAACTTTGATTATAGAGAAATTGATATCAGAATTCCTAAAATATTGATCAATTTGTAGATTGAATAAGTGATACAAAAATTTTACAACCAGAATTAATGCTGTTGTATTATTATAATATCATTCCATTTTTGTATATTAGACAAAATGAACAAAAAATAAAAATTTCAAAATGTCTTTCTAATGCTTCTGAAGTGATCAAGACCTTTGAAAAAAAAATAATTAAATTAAAAGGATAACTATTCAAATCTATTAATAAAATTATAAAAATTATAAGTTAGAGAGATAATAAAAAGAAAATACATACTGCATTATTTTTAAAGAAAGACAATCAGAAATATGAATCTACAAAAAAAAATCTAATAATTGCAACATGTAGCATTTAAAAAAATAATGATAATAATTTGATTAAAAAAAAATTTTACTTATGCAATCTGAAGTAACTATCTTAAAAGAAATCTTGTAAAAATAATAAAACAAAGAGAAAAATAAAGGCTTTATCATAATAGAATTGGATTCATTTTCTTACATTACAGAAATTGAATTTTTTTTTTATTTTTTATTTTTTTTAATAATTTGATATATACAGTATGTAGATATGATTTTTTTCTTTCATTTCTTTTTTACTTTAATTTATTTAAATTTTATTTTTTTTTTAGGTTATTAGTGATAGAGATTAGTACTGTAAAGTTTCTATTATTATTATTTTATTAACTAGGGTTTTTCTTTTTATTTTGGATTTTTTTTTTAGGTGATTTCTTTAATATTACTAAAAATTGATAAAAAGGTATGATTTAATTTTTATAAATAAATGATATAATAACAAAATTCACTTTTATGATAACATGAAGAAATTTTAAAATATACATTATAAGTTTTCAATCCTTATATTGATCCTTTAATTTTACTTTTATTATAGCTAAATATATTGTCAAATAATATGATAATGAATAATAGAATAAGCTAATTAAATAATAAAAATATTATAAAGGATATAAACTTAAGAAGAAATATATAATAATTTAATATGATATCAAAAAAAAAGGTGATCTTCCAAAAACATCTTTTTCAGTCACATTTTGTAAAAATGCTGTAAATAAGATGCATTAAAATCTGAATAAAAATATTTGTCTAGTATAAAATCAGATATAATATAATAATTCTGGTTGGAATTGAAAGATCAAGTTCAAAGAAATCAGGTTTAAAATTTTGATCTTTAATAAAACTTATTTGATATTTTTAGTCATAATTAATAAAAAATACCATTACATCAAATAAATTATAAAATTATAAGCCACATAAAAATACTAACTTCTGGTTAATTAAATCTTTAAAATCTAATTCATAGCAATCTTTAATCAAGTAATAAATAGATTGATGTATTACTGTATTCTTTATTTACAGAGTATATAATCATACGATTAAATCAAAAAAAAAGAAAAAAAAAGAAAAAAAAATTACAATTAAAATTAAAATTAAATTAATAATTATTGTTAATTATTATACCTTTATCAATTTATAAAAAAAGCTTTAGATTTTGATCTTGTGAAGTAACATCATCTAAGAAGAAAAAATTTATTAATAGCTTGAAGGTTGATTTTAATATAGGTGCATAAATTACCTATAAAAAGACCTTAAAAGGATATCATGTTATCTTTAAATTTTGCTACTATCTTTCCTTAACTTACTCTTAAAATTCGTAAAGTATATTAATGAGTCACTTCAAAAAAATACATTAAATACATTTATATTGAAATTTACTTATTTTTGATTATTAGAGAATAACTAAATATTATTTCAAGCTGAATATAATAGCAATGAATTAATGATGAGGGATGAAACCCCTTAATAACAGTCAAAACTTAGATGAAACTATATTAAAATTATAATAAGGAATATGACAAATCCTTTCAATATAACGAAAGCCGAAACTGTTGAAACTATATTAAAAACATAGAAAAGGGTATGACAAAATTATTTTAAGGAGGTTTCGGTAGGCATCTATACAATGAATAGATTATCCTATTTTTAATCAAATTCTTAATATTTGTAATGTGATAAACTTTATTACCCTATTTATGGTTCAATTTATTGCACATATTAATTACTTTACAAAGTTATCTCTGATCTTAACGATTAATGTGAAAATAAATTAGATTATATAGTATTATTGAAATATATATATCTTTAGGTTAAATTAACTTCTGAACGATGATATTATAAAAGAATCCTCTTTGATAATTGAATTCATTAACCTATATTTAGACATTATACAGCTTTAATATGAGAAATTTCTATAAATAATTTGAAATGACGATAACGATATTGATGGTATTAAAAATACATTAATGATTTTGGTTAATGAGCTAAAGTATTTTCAAATAGATGTCAGAATAAGCATAATTATTATAAATATAATGTTAAAAATCTTATAATAACATTCAAATAAAACAATTATTCAGATAAAAAAAATATTAATTACTCTTATACTTTATGCTATAACTGCAACTATATTAGTTCTTCAATAGGTAAATATAGAATAATTTTATCATTTAAGGCTGAACTTTCAAAACTGCTCCAAGTCTTGTGTTTATTTATATTAAAATATGTTACGATAAGTATACAAAAAGACTATTCCTTCTTTTATACTTTTAATAAGTATACTTAAGTATGATCTTTTTACCAGATACTGCTATTATGACAGTTATTTGAAGAAGATGTGGTATATTTTATAGATACCTCTAAAATTCTAAAATTCTAATATTGCAAAGCTATATTGGATTTATAGAAAATTTTTTTGTAAAAAAAAAGGAGAAAATTATCAGATCATAGGATGAATAAATAATAAAAAAAAATTTGAAATTGAGTACAGTAGCACTCGAAC